CCAAAACCCCGTGACGGTAGAATTTCATGTTGCACGTGCACTCCTGAGGAGTGTAATTCCCAAGGAAGTCTTCGCATCGTGAGATGTCTTCGATCTGATCAAGCGCATGCCATCCAGCGTACACTTAGCGTACAACATACGCATGAGTTCACCAGCCGTCGTGCTGCCGTTGTGCGGTGGTTGGGCATCCCTTCTCCATGCGCATGGAATTGCCGCACATCGATGGAATGCATCGATTGGCTGTAATTAGCACTGTTGAGCAATTGAATTGGTCTCAAATTACATTTACTTTGAAACTATTGGCTATTGAATTACATTTTATCCAATCCGCGTCTAGAATAGGTATCTGCTGGCCCCCGTTTGTGGTTCCTCCACCATGGTGGCCATCTCGTTCACGCCTCTGTACGGCGTGCAGTCGTCGGAGCGTAGCTGCTGCTACCTCCTCGAAGTGGATGACATTGGAATTCTCCTCGACTGTGGGTGGACCGACGACTTTGATGTCGCGCTGCTTGAACCGCTGGCGAAAGTCATTGACAAGGTCGACCTGGTCCTCATCTCACATCCAGACTTGGCGCACATGGGTGCCCTGCCATACGCGATGGGAACGCTCGGTCTCAAAGCACCAGTGTATGTGACTTTGCCCGTGTACCGCATGGGCGAAATTGTGCTCTACGAAGCATACCAGGCCCGGACGAAAGATGATCTCGAGTTCAACCTTTTTACATTGGATCACGTCGACCAAGTGCTCGAGACGTTCATCCAGCTCAAGTACTCACAGAAACTCAAGCTCTCTGGCGAAGGCGAAGGTATTTACATCACACCCCATGCCGCCGGACACCTCATCGGCGGGTCGATCTGGAGCATCGCGAAAGAAACCGTACGTGCTCCTTGTCAGCGAATTTCCATGTGACCGACTTTGAACAGGACGAAATCCTGTACGCTGTCGATTACAACCATCGAGCAGAGCACGTCTTGAGCAAGACTGTCCTGGACACGTTCACGTAGGCTGCCTCAATTGCCTAACGCCACGACACAAAGCATTACCATGGTGTAGGCGCCCCACACTGCTCATCACGGGTTCCATGTACCTGGAAAAGCAGCAGCCCAAAATGCGAGATCGCGACGAACAGGTATCCCTTACACCGTTCGCGAGACTACTGTATCATCGCTATGTACCCTAGCTCAAAGACGAGATCGTTCAAGTTCTGCGTCGAGGCGGCGACATCTTGATTCCGTGCGACAGCGCCGGCCGTGTGTTGGAGGTCCTTCATGTTCTCGATCAGTACTGGATCAAACTCAAGTACGGCGTATCGTTTACACGACACCACCCAACGAATGGTCTGTAGGCTGAAAGACCCGATCGCGTTGCTGCACACGATGAGCTTCTACACACCAAAAGCTGCGCAAGCTATGCTCGAGTGGTGCAGCGAGCGCATCTCCAAGAACTTTGATATTGGCAAGCCAAATCCGTTCAACTTTACGCATGTGAACTTAATCCACAGCCTCGACGAGCTCGACCGATTGCCGAGTCCCAAGGTGATCTTGGCGACATCCCCGACCCTCAACCACGGATTTGGCAAGGACTTGCTCATGAAGATGGCCCCTCTGTCCACGAACGGTAACTGGGCCTCGCCATGATCGACGCCATGCAAGAAAGGTGCCCTGACTAGGTCTGGTGTTTGTGTCGACTCCGGTGCCGGGCACCGTTGCCGCCAACATTCACCCCGGCACGGTCGTCAAGCTTGAAGTGTCCAGGAACGTTCCGTTGGAAGGCGCCGAATTGGCCGCATTTGAAGCCAAGGAACGGCGGCGACTCATCGACGAAGCGGAACTCAAAGCTAAAGAAATCGAGGAAGCCGCGATGGAGGATATGATGATGACTATTGCCGAGTACGAATCGGACGACGAAGGACAAGCCGCAACGACACCCGCGCCTCCAACTAACAACGCTGTCCCTGCTCCTCCCATTCCCGCCACCGACAAAGGTATCGTGTGCTGATGGAATGCCAAGACTTTGTTCTGTTTTGAAATGGGTGTTTGTGGTGTTGCGGGTGAAGTGCTACAGCGAGTTCTTCGTGCGCTATCTCTTGTACTAACGTACAGCTCGTGGTGATGTAGCAGCCCCGATGCAATTGCGCGGGTCGTTCAAAGTCGGGTTCGGCCAGTTCACGACGCCCAAATATCCGATGTTCTTTACCATGGATACAAAGTGCGAATGGGATGAATATGGCGAGGTATTCAAACGCCTTCCTGTCTTGCTTGGGAATCGGATGGCATGCGCATGGCTGTTCGTGACATGCATGTGCTGGGTAGATCATCCGCGTGGATGAATTCAAAGACGTCAGCCAAGCCAAGGCCCGTCTTCGGAACAAATCGAAGTCGTCCAGTGAAAACGTCAATATGGGCAACGATGACGATGACGACGACGACGGTGATCTTGCCGCCGCCGCCGATCGCCGGCCCATGAAGACCCTTCATTCGTCGCAACACATTTTCGTAAGTGACTGCTGCTTTGAAAATCGCAAACGACCAATCATGTGTCGTTATGTTGCTATTATCCAATCAGATTCGAGACTGATCGACTGTAGATCCAATGCAGTGTGCGATTTATCGACTTCGACGGGGTTGCCGATGGCCGCGCCATCAAGAACTGCCTGGACAACGTCAAGCCGCGCAAGTTGATCTTGGTGCATGGCACTCCAGAGACAACCGCGGGACTGCAAGAGTATGTACAATCGACCATGGAGCAGTGCGAAGCGGTAAGAACATGGACTGTTGTCATAAGTGCATGACGACGACAGACACCCGATCGTGGCGCTCAAACGATGGATTATGACGCAGGTGTATACTCCGCAAGCAAACGAACGCATTGATATCGAGTCCGACACGACAGTGTACAAACTCTCGCTCAAGGAATCGTTGTATTCGTCGGCATATTTTCAAAAGGTACGCTTTTCGTCACGTTTCGTACTGACGATACGTTCGACTAGGTTGGTAGCCACGACGTGGCGTACATCAACTCCACCGCGGAATTCCATGGTGCCACGTGCATCTTGGACGTGGCCGAACAGGAATACCACACGCCAATGCTGTTGTCGCAAGGCAAGGTGACACTTGCCACATTGAAGACACTCCTGGCACGCGCTGGTTTCGAAGCCAACTTTTATGGCGGCATGCTGGTATGACTGCTTGGTCGTTACAGGAGCAGTCTCGTCATGACAGACTACTTCGTAGGTGTGCGATGACGGGGTGGTATTGAAGCGTTCCCGCAATAACGAAGTTGTGATGGAAGGGACGTTGTCCACGAGCTACTACCGCATCCGAGATATCCTGTACCAACAGTATACCTTGGTCTAAGCAATACTACACCATCAATCCATCCCATCTATACATCTTCTCTTCGCGACGTCGCGTCGGAGTGGCGCCTTCCGCCTAGTTCTGTTGGACAGGTGCATTGCGTGATGAAGTTACTTCCAGCCAATCACAGCGCTGACTGGAACGACAAAATTGGTTTCATCCAATCCAATTGCTTATCAACCCCAACGTCACCGTTGATTGGTCAATCCACACAGACCATGCAGCTCACAGTCAAGCAAATCCTTTTGAGAGGACCAACACTCTCGTTCGTTTTCTCGATGAAACTGTTCGCCGACAATTTAATCAACCAATCGAAGATAGACATATCAACAGATCATCCTGATTGGTCGCTTTTTTGAACTGTCCAACGTCCGTTTCGGATGCCCTTCCAGAAAATCGATCTGACTAGCATACTGAAACCAAG